TTAAAATTAATACTTTCTCTGGTGGAAAATTAAAACTCATCTCCCGCATCTTATGTGAGCATATAGCAACAGAATCAGACTGAGGATTAACCTCCATTTCCATTGCCTCACATATTCAAAACTAAACAATAATCTTAATAATTTAACTGCTCCATCAAGTAAAGGGTAATTGAGCAGATTGTGAGACACAATCATATACTGTCCTACTGTACTGTGAAAAAATATGAGGGATTTTACTTTACAGTAGGAATGTCTTGAACGCCATTTCATAAAATTTTAATGTTCCATCAATACTTTGGCTACCAATTGGGATTCCAGTAAGTACCAAACTATATACTTGGCCCAAAAACATGACACGACAAAAATTAAATCTCAGAAACAAGTGAAAGCTCTAGCCACACGCATGCGAGAGCTTTATAAATATACTAAGAATAAAGGACCATCACAGAACAATACACTGAGATCAAGTAATCAAATAAATAATGCACATAGAGCAAAAAAAGTCTCTATCCAAACCGCACCAATATTCCAAACACAAAATGGGTATTGAAGTGAAACAATGATAAAATGCTTTTGACAATGGAACAAGATCAACATTTTAAAAGAGAATTTAATAAAAAAGAAATGCTTTAAAATGAAGAACTGATTTATGCACAAGCAGAGTTCCATCATGTCAAATAATGCAACCAACCCTACTGCTTAACAAGTGAATTCTATAAAAAACAATACAAGTGTAACACTTGGTCTAGACAAAGAATAGTTCCAAGCAATACAACAACTGTGCACTCACATGTGCTGTCTACTAAGGTCTACATCGTCACATAGAATAACAGTGCACGCACTGGTCGCTGATGGTGACTGATCAGATGCAGCTCTGTTTGAAGTTCGTGTTGTATACAAGCTCCCTGATCTCCGTCTTGACTGAGAAGGTCTCCTATTGCTATGAGTGAATGCATCAAGTTCATGGCCCTCACTTACACTAGTATGCAATGGGTATGTAGTACTTGATGCTGAAAACGTTGATTCTGAATAAACACAATTACCATAAGAAGACTTATTTGTTCTGCTGCAATTGCTAGGAGATCTTTGAAGGTTTCTGCTTCTTTCACACAAACAGCACATGAAAATTTGGTAAGAAAACTGTCCAAAGCCATGTCTTGGCCCAGCAATACAAAGCAATGACATCAGAAAAAATGTTGCATATGTCCAACTTACACACATAATAATAACAAGAAACATCCCAATTTGATTGTATGCCAGAACTGAGGAAGGCAACATAAAAACACCAGCAATGCCTGTGGTAAGGGCTCCCATCGCAGTGGGTCCACACATCCTATGAAGAGCATATTTTACAGCCTCTTCCCTACTTGTATTGTTAGGAGCCAACCTATAGCTCACACTATAGTGTAAGCTAAAATCAACAGCAAGGCCGATTGATGTGCTTATGGCTACAGACTCTAAAACATTAAGTTCCCACCCACACAACAAAAGAATAGCCATGGTAACAAATATGGTGCTTGTTACAGAAAGCACAGCAAAAATTGAAACAAGGATATCTAAAGTCACCAAAAACAGAACCAGTAAAGACATGATCATTGATATTGTCAAGGCAGACACTGTACTTTCAGCAATTGTGTCCTGAAGATCATAAAAATGGAGGTCACTCACAAACCAGCCATGCTGCAATCCAGGTGGAGCAGTCTTCAGCTCATTCTGCATCCAGTTTTCCACCTAGAAATAAATTGTGAAAACATTATAATACTGCAATAGTATGTTAATTGAGTTCCAGAAAAGAATAAGGTAGAGTAATATGTTCCCTACTTCTTGGTAGAAGCTGTTAGTTTCCTCATACGACATCAGATAAGAGGAGTTGCTATCATACTCCACAATAACAGCTCGAATTTTGGGATGGGAAATGTTTTTGGAAAACTTTGGGCCTGTAAATCCAGGTTCATATAAATTGGGAGTGCGATAAAGACTAGCCATGACTTGAGCCGTGCAATTTTTGAACACTGATCGACTGTATGGTATGGATGCAATCTCACAGCATGGACTGCGATCAATGTTATCAATTGTATCTTTGCAACGTCTTGTCATCCAAGACTCCTGTAATTAAATAGGACACAATTACACAGTTAATTTCCGGAAAGTCTACTTTGAAGAAAAATGCTTAAAAAGTTTTGAGTAGATTTGATGGACCTACCAAGCTCTCTATGAAACAATTAGGCAGAAGAGGTCCCAGAGTTGAGCTATAAAATGGTTGTTTCCTTATTTTGGCACAAAATTGTTTCAGCCAGAGTTGAGAAGCAGCAGCTGCCATGTCAAACGATGAATCAAAATGAAGTTTTCCCTTAGAATAGGGATTGAAGTAGTCACCAGAGTCAACTGGTTTAACACCCCACACAAATCTTAATGGAAGTTTAACAATAGAGGCTGAATTCTGTAAGAAAAATATTTTACAATAGCTACTTTTCAGTTTGGCACAAATTGTGAGACCTACTTAAAAGCAATTGAACATATGCATTTTAGAATTTGGAAAATATATTACACTGGGAATAGTGTTGAAATTAGCAACTAACCTTCTCAAGCCTTTCAAACCAAAATTTTTCTTTAAAAACCGCATCATACTGCTCAAACTGATGAGACTGTCGAAACAACTGAAAGTCTTGTGACTTGGGAAGCTGAAGGCCTGGGTAGTAAAGAACACTTACTCCACTGCCAATAGCCAAAACCCCTAGGATGAACACCCAAAGAAAGGGACATTGAACCTGAAACAAATAAAACCATGTAATATTTATATCAAAACAAATAATACTCACATAAGATAAGATTACAGTTATTATTTGATATCCTACCACAGCACTAACAAAGATGTGCTCAAAACAATTGCTAAAACTGTGAAGGTAAGCCCGTAGATCCAAACAATGTGTTTTTAGAGAAAACCAATTAACACCAGGAAAACTGAATTTTTCAGAGATGATAACAGTAGCAGGAAGCCATGTCACCATTAGGAAAAGATTTGTAACAACTGCCATACCAGCAAATATACTACATAAAAAATATGGATTAGTTTTCTCATAGTCTGATAAAGTATAGAATTACACACAGTACATAAGCAAAGATACGGCATTTCAAATATCATACCTGAAACATCGAATTGCTGTTATAGAGCTCAGAAAAGATGTTAAAAATGCTACAGCTGTGGTGAAGGATGTGATAAACATAGATAAAAGGGCATGGTTGAGAGTTTCCTGAACAACCTGCTGCAGTGAAGCAGATGACTTTTCAGATTTAACACAATTCCAGACTTTGCAATAAATGAAAGCATCATCAGCCCCAATCCCTGGAGAGTAAAAATTCTTGAATGTAAAATTCAATTGATTAGGATCCATTAAAGATTTTTAGATTCAAATGATGGATGCTTACCAACAGATACAACACATGCAAGGAGATTCATAAATGGGAAGAATTTTAGATCAAACACAATGGTGTAAAAGAAATATGACATTCCAAGGGAGAGGCAAATTGCGATGATGGTCATGAACGTCACAAAAAAGGATTCAGTATACATCCACATACATAAACACACAAAAAGTGCTCCTAGTAGTATTAGCCAAGTGTCCCACACAAGACTTTCATCAAACAGTACTTCCTTGAGGCCTAAGAGGAAAACCAAAATAAAAGTAGCAATTGGTGGCAAAGAGGTGTACAGTTTTCATTAGGTACAGTATGTTACCTAGGTCCATTGCTGAGACTTTGACGTTTCCAAATTTAAGACTGTTGGAGTCTAAAGCATTGTAATATGGCAAAATTGCTGAAGATCTGGCAATTGGTAGAAACAGCATAGAGTGCTGGACAAAAGATTGGGTAGGATTCTGAAAAGTGAAAGAAAAGTAATATCAATTTTATTTCAGATCACATAAGATGCCGTCAATGCATTATCAAAATTAATATTTACAAACTTAGATAGGAAAATAGTACTTACATCAGGAGGGAGGAAATTAATATCAACCAAGTAGTGCAATATGTTGAACACAGCATTGTTCCTGGTACAGTTGGGAGGAACAACCAAGCAAGCAGCTGAAGAACTGAATTTGTCTTCCTGACAATCTGCGGGAAGCTTCAAATTGTGATAATACTGTGCACAATCGACCAACAATTTTCTGGTTTCTTCAACATCATGCTCCTAATATGGGATAGAAAAAGCAACAATTTAGATTACAAAATGTTCTGTGCATAAAGAGGATGGTTCAAAACTAGTTTGCATAGGACTGTTAGGACTGTTAAAAAGTAAAGTGTCAATTAAAAATTCTAAAGTTTAATTTCTGTGAACATGTTATTTACACATGTAAATGCAGTTAACTTGAGTTGGCACAGCAATACAAATAAATTTTAAAAAAGGAAGTTACCATAGTATCCAATCACAAAGCTCTCAAAAAGTTGCAAAAACTGTTAAATAGTCCAAAAAGTAGACATGAAGAACACAATAATTTCAGAGAAATTTTTGTTTTTTAATTTTGGTTCAACAGTAGAGCCAAAGCAAACTCAATTCATTTTCATGCAGAAAGATAAAGAAGGCAAATACAGTTACCTTAATTTGAAAACAATTTTTGTGGCCATGGAGGACAGCTACATAGTTGTGCAGAGCCCAAGAATTGCAGCAAGAGTTCCCAGTAGAATATTGACAGTTTGATGTAAAATGTGGACTTGATCGCAGACGATCATCAAGGCTACAAGCTGATCGTAAAGCAGCCAGCGATAAAAAGTCTGATCCATCTGTTGTTGACAGAACCATATGGGAGTAAACAGGACCTGCGGAGAATGGTTTAAACAGAGAAGAGAATGACAAATTTAGGTTGAAGTGTTTGAAATCTAAAGCAAAGTAAAATTTAAAATTTTACAAACTTGGGGCTCCACAAAAAAAACCATCTTTTGAAAGATGATCATGGTCATGGTCATGGTCGTGCTCAGAAAGTATTCTTTTTTCACTGAGCTCATCTCGTAAGATTTTCCATGGTTCTGAAGAATTCCCATAATCAGGCTGGGCCTAAGGAAATAAAAATGGAGAGTCATAAGTATATATTCAAGTGTGATCAAGCAATACATAAACTGCAGTTCATCATACCTCTGACACATTTATACCAAACGTCCAGTTTCTCTGCTGGTCCCAGTCAAAGTTCGGTTCTGATAACACAGGAGTGGAAGGTGGAGTAACAAGGACAATCTTCTTGTTCTTCTTTTTAGTTTTCTGAAACAGGAAATGAGATTTACGCATTAGTTGTAAATGTTAAATATACTTGATGAACTTCTTTTACTTACTATTCTTGGAGTATAAACCAAATCATCAGGTGACGGAGTGGATACATTAGCAGCGACTGTTAGTAAGGAAGATTTTGTATTAGAAGATGTTAATAAAAGTTCACTAGGATTTGATGTCAATGATCCTGAGGGTCTAGTGGCTTCAGCAATGTTTTGCCATGTAGTTATCCTCTGAGAAATAGTTGTTCCCCGAGTTTCAAATCCCTACAGAAAGTAAAAAGAGTGTTATCTATTGTGTGCCTGACTCAATACACAACGTATATAGAGGAAAAGGACTCGTACCAAAGTTGGATCGGTAAATGAAGGTATTTTTCGAGTAAAAAATGGAACTATGAGACAAAGTCCTGAGACTACAGCAACTGCAGCAAGAACAATATATGGACGATGAGAAAGAGTCTTGGAATACCTGTTGAACAAACACACAGACACAAAAAATAATCATTGCAAATGTAAACAAAACAATACATCAACATCAATATTAGACAACATACCAGTTCATCTTCAGGCTTGTAGAGTCTCCTACAAGTTCAACAGAATCTCGAACAGCTAACTGAGCCACATTGTATTTACTGGAAGAGAAATAATACAAAAAACTAGTTAAAAACATTGCTATGGTGAACTGTTGACAAGCCATTATAACCCTCAAATTATATAAAAATTACACAAGGAAACATCAGCGCGCCGAGAGGAATTCGCAACATGTAGAAAAAAGTGAGACCAGTATGAATATATACCTCAAATGTCAGTCAGATCTAGTTACAATTCATGTTTATTGTGCTTCAACATGTTCCAATTCAAGTTGACCCGCTCATACCGCCACCGGCCTGCTCTGTGTTTACACTTGGGGCGGACTATATGCACTAGAGGCAGGCAGCGCAGCGGTATGAGAAATTAATTGCAAAGGGAACAAGGACCAAAAGGGAAAAGACCCGCGCAAGTTTCAAATGTTAGTTGAGTCAATCATCCTCCGCTCCGTTGTCTAGGTTTACATCATTATCGGGGAAAAAATATTTATTTCTTTATGATTTGATTGTTTTAGGGTTAGCAACATTCTTTCTTTCGTGAATGATCATCAGTATAGACCTTTTCGTCCACAACGCCAATATGTCTGTAGTAAAATTGTAATTTGGGCAAATTTTCAAAAAGTAATACCACTTTTCCCTGGTAAATTCTCCAAGGAATCCAGTGGTGATGAGTAATTTTGTCGGCAGACACTCAAAATACGGTTTATCTCAAGAATAAAATTGTGCTTGCGGCGTTGCCACGTTGTGGTCGAAAAGGTCCATTTTCGGTTGAATCCTCTGTACTGGTAACTACTCGTTTGGGTCGAGCGGCCCTTGTCGCGAGAAACCTAAAAGAGACCCTCGACCAGAAATGTGGCCAGCCAAGTTTCTGATTGGCTGCGGTCCAACATCCCGTTTGTATAGTTGGGCCCGCTTTACTCTCGCCTTTCGGGTCTTATCCGGGCAGAGCTGCAACCGCTAATGAGAAGACGGAAGTAGCGCTGAGGCTTGTAGAGGGACCAGCGAACGGGCGGCACAGGAGTTTACAGGCGAGAGGGGTGGAGGAAAAGTAGGGGAGAGTGGGGCACATTGGTCCATGGGGCACCTTGGTCCACCATCAAGTTTCACGAGGATAGAGCAATCGCAGTGACCTGACTCACACAATAGAAGAAGCCATTACCACCCTGACTGATTTTCTGGAAGGTATGACAAAGTTCACTGGCAACCATCGGATT